AAAGGGTGAAAAATTACTGCTGTGGCATTTCATTCTCCATATGTTACCCTGTTTGCCTTTGCTTTTAGCATGTATATTTGCTTTTGTGTGTACGACAGAGTGGCAGCGTAAGAGTGAAAATGCCTACTGAGCTACTGAGAGAAAAACATCAAACCATAGGGAGAAATGAAAAGGTTCACAGAGTTTGTTTACTATGCTGGCTAATTGTGTAAAGAGGGAGGGTATGTACACAGTGTGCCCATGTGCTTTTTCCGATGCTATTTGAAGCATAGGAATGGCTATGGAGGTTACACTTGGGTGGGAGTTTAATTGTGAATAGAATTGTGTTGGACATATATGCAAAAGTTTTTTTTTTTTTTTTCGTTTTTTTTTTCTGGAATTAGCCCTGCTGAAATTTGGTTCATGGTACCCGCATGATCTTTTTGGTGAAGTTGTGGTTCAGTCTAAAGCCCCGTGGTATGTTGATATAAGGGTGACTGGGGCTAGTCCCACCTTTTACAGTATAATTCTCAGTGCTGGTTTATTTTTAAAATATACAGTATGTGCAAACACAAACCTTAAGGTGCTGTCACATTCACTGCTGTTTGGTAAATGTTCATGGGTGAAATCCAGTCATTTTAATATGATTCCATGTGATCTGCAATTTAATGTGAGGACGAAAGATTTCCCCAAATAGGTTTTGCATCAAGTTCAAGTTGGTTGTGCAAATTTGTCATGTTGACCAACAGAAAGCTGCTTGGTTTGAAAATTGCTTCTGTGAGCTGTGCTTCATACATCGACATTGGACAATGGACCTTTTTACCCACAAAATTTCACAGAATTTTTTCTAATGTGACCACATCTTTGAAGTCTTTAAAACTTTGAACATTAGTTTCAAATTACAGTTTATTAAATACAGATTGACCTCTTATATGAACATGCTTTTTTTTCATATCATTTGTAACATGACCATTTGCCAGGCTGAACATTCATTCATTCATACATTTTTATTTATAGCAGATATTATTTTTATTTATATTTCATTTTGATATTGATATTTGTTGATATGGCATTTGTGTGGATTTTTGACACAAAAACTTTTAGTAATTTACATATATGTTTCCCCATGGCACTGAATGGTTAATATATTTATATATTATGGGATTTACATGGTACTTTAAATTAAATTAAAAAGCCATCCCATACTGGCAACCAGAATTCAAAACAACATCTTTCCAGCAGGTATAATCTTGCATAAAAGATAATGTCCCGAAGGGCGGTAAATGATGTTGTCCGGACAGCGTACCTGTCTCATTCTGAGAGCTCAGTAATTGGATGTTTTCTGATCTAAGCAAAGTATCTGTCTCGCCTGCCAAACAATGTTTTAGATGATCTTTCACAAAGCCCCGTATCTCTTATCTCACCTGCTCCTGTTCACCTGCTGTTGATTAATATCCCCGGGAGGTTTGCACCTGATGCTCCGTGCTTGATCCTAGCCCAACTAGAAATACCCAGAATTCCATTGACATGTCGGTCGGCTCATCTTTGTTTCTGTTGGCGTCAGAGAGACTTTGAATGGGAGTTGCCTCAGATCAGTTGCCTCTGAAGTGCCAATCTGCAGATCAAGGCAAGAGAAAGATTGCACTTACATTGCATTAGGTAGGTTTGTATTTATTGAGCTCTAGCTGTGGGAGCATATGTGTTGAAGAAAAGAATGGTGCATGTTTATGAGAGAGAGAGAGAGATGAAAACGTAGACAATGCAGATGTGCTCTTGCATTGCTTCTGCGTAGGTTTCGCTGATATTTCACAAAACTCTTGCACTAGGAATGAATTGCTCACACTTATAGAATTGTTTTCTTATTGATTAGCCTAAGCCCAATGAAATTTGCATGGTGCAGTTCCCATCATGCAGTTGTGAGACTAGGTTGCGGCAGACTACTGCAATCTGGCATACTTTACTAGACCTGTCCATCATCACTGCACTGTGATCCAGAAGCCTGAATTGACACTTTAAAATATTGAAATTGCAATCTAAATCACAAGCCTGTATAAATGCCTGACTATAACGCACCTCTCCATCATTTGATCATCATTTGATAAATCACTGCTTGCTTGACGGCTTGAAAATCTACACAAACACCTCTTTTAAACAAAATACCACAGGCGGTAATAGCATAGTGTAATTTGTGCCAGGCAAATTAAAAGTGAATATAGCTCAATCTATATCAAGCCTCATTTGCATAGAAAGTTTGCACTGAAAAAAATGACATTGACTTAAACTGAAATCTGGCTTGTTAGTAAATAAGATGCAGAGTTTTAAACAGAAATATTGCACACAAAAGTGATGCAACTATTTAGTGAATTTGTCCTAAAATGTTAGATTTTAAACAATTTTGACATTGAGGGAACATAAAATAGTAATCAATGTAGTCATTAATAATTAAAAGAAAGAACTATTTATGTATACAGACCTTTTTTAATTAATATCAGGAATTCCTGTCCTAATTTATTTATTCTTGTAATTATAAGTTGACGTTGGGATTTATCTCTATTTTTGCCGCTTGAGTAGACTTTACAGAGTCATAAACTCATAATTTAAGATATTCATAATAATATACCTGCTTCTTTTACTCCATGAAATAAAAGTACCAGGATAAAAATAAATGCATTTTAATAATGTACCACCTCTTCTATGTTTACTAGGAATGTAATGTTACACAAAAAATTATTGAAAAATTAGATGTTTCGGTACATACCCTTGGTTTGGTATGTTTTCAGTACAGCGGGGAGAAAAAACAAATAGTTAATTTTTTCTTTATTAATCTTCCTGGTTACTGAAGAAACTATGGCTTTGTCTTTAACTTCAAAAAGTATATCTTTGTATTGTAGTTTATAGAGATTTTAAGAGCTTCCACTTTTGGATGCAAACCATTTTTAGTAAAATATATAGCATTTCAAGAATTATTGCACTATCCATTCTACTGTGCTCTGTCTGTTTAATGTGCAAATGCACATTTGTGCTCGTTCATTGAAGTCTGTGAAGTTTAACAGATACACTTTGTGCAAAATAGTCATACTCATGTGAATTTACAAATAAGGATACAACCGTAAAAATGTAAATTATGCGCTGAGGAAAACTGGTCTCAAATTATACAGTACGCACATCTGGCAGGCTGCTGGACAATTTGGATTGTGCACCTTTCCTTCAGCAGCTCACTCTGTGTCCTCATGTATCTTTGAGATGTATTTGCAACATCAATGTGTATTGATATATAAATGGTCTTGTCCCAGCCAAGCTCATTTAGATTCAGTAAGGCTATTTGGATATGCTATAGTCAGAATTTGAAAGTCTCTAAAGGGGTCAAATACAAAAGAGAGACCTCAGTGAACTGAAAAGGCTATTACTGCTTACAATACAAATCATTGCTTGGAAGTAGATGAAATTCACTTATTCATTGTTCACTTGAAAGATTCATTCATTGTAACTTTGTAAAGTCAACATGACGAATTGCCATTTGCTAAAGTGTTTTCTCCTGTGGAATAACATGAAGTGATGAATTGCTCACAAGAACTTTCTGAATTTTGATTTCATGTTGACTTAAGTAGGTGTCTTGCTCAAGGGCACAATGGTGATGATTCATTGACCATTTTTTGGTTACTAGCAAAGAGCACAGCACTACCCTTACTGCTGGAAAAATGACCCAACACTTCACCGGTTATGTACAGCCTTATCTGACTTGACTAGGCTTTGAACTTGAATTTTCAGTTGTGGAAACAGAATGTTACACATATTTAATCATTTGTGCTTTTTGTTGTACACTATTTGCTGAATCCATAATTAGAAGTTATTCTTAGTCCATCTGGCCTCAGCAGTGAGTTTAATCTGAGGATCAACATGAAGCTTTACAGTTTACATTTAACAAATGTTTTAAAACTCCTCCTCCTCCATTCCCATTATTTCTTCCCTAAACTCAAGATGTGCATATGTGGGTGTATGTTAAGTTCACAGGGTCACATTGGCAGCTTGTGCGTACAAAATAAATAAATAAATAAAATAAAGCATTTGAAACAGATGATGTAAATATGCGCATATATATACTACCGTTTAAATGTTTGGGGTGGGTAAAATTATTAAATGTTTTTGAAAGAAGTATGCATTTATTTGATGAGAAATACAGTAAAAACATTGTAAAATGTTATTACAATTTAAAATAGCTGTTTTCTATTGTAATATATTTTGAAATGTAGTTTGGTTTAGTGTTGGAAAAGTTTAATTTTAGCAGCCATTACTCTAGTCTTCAGTGTCAGATGATTCTTCAGAAATCATTCAAATATGTTGATTTCATGTTTAAAAAACATGTCTTATTATTATCAATGCTGAAAAAACAGTTGTGGTGCTTAATAGTTTTGATACATTTTATTTAGGATTCTTTGATGAATAGAACAGCATTTATTTGAAATAGGAATCTTTTATAACATTATACATGTCTTTACCGTCACTCTTGATCAATTTTGTGTCTCCTTCCTTATTAAAAGTAATCACGTATTGACCCCAAACCTTTGGATGGTAGTGTAAATATAGGCATACTGTAAATTAAAGATGACTTGTTAATGGATAAATGAAAGAAGGATTTAACAATCACATGATACATAATTATAGTTCAGAAATAATGTGTAAAAGGTAAGCAATGGGAATTGGAGTGCTTCTGACATTTTGAGGACATATTGAGAACACTTTGAGTAAGAGGATGACAACCATGAGACCCTGAAAGTGTTTACGACAAGCAGATATTTGCAGAAAGACTAGATGGCCCATTATAAAAGCAAGGCCAGTGGACTTGAGGGCCGTTGTGGCTGAGAGCGTTTGGAGTGGGGTTGTCATCGACTAGTTCTCATGGCACCATACAACTCACTACGGTCTCTCCTGTTCTCTCTCATGGAATGACCCAATTAATTCATTCTTTTTTTCTGTGTGTGTGTTTGTGTGTGTTGTGTGTTGTGTGTATACCCTATCAACAGAGAGGCTGGCGAAGAAAACTGGGACGCAGAGAGCTGCCAAACGCTCCCATCGCTGGCAGTCTCCCACACCAAATGCCTGTGCAGCAAGCTGTCCACCTTTGCAGTGTTAGCGCAGAAAGCTAAAGAACCGGTGAGTGCTATCTTTACCTTTCCACACCACACTTCATCCCTCAGCATCTGCTCGGGACGGGGCCTAGCCGACCGAGACCTCTGTGAAATTTGTCTTAGGCATAGCATATGCTGCCATACATCGAGAATATTTTTGTCGAACATTGTTTGAAGTGTTTGGTTGCTCTCTAGAAGGTCAGTATCCCGTCTGTTCCACATATGCTAGATGCTGTAGCTAAAGAAAGATCAGAAACTATGTGTTCTTGGGTAATTATTTTGTTGTAAAGATTTCTTAAAGGTAGGGGCATAACATTGTGACCATCTGCACTGTTGCTGTGACATTCGATGTGAACTTGCCTCCATAGTGTGAGGGTATCGTACAGAAGCAGATGGTGGACCAGGTGTTTAATATATCATGGTATGCATTATGCGTCAGGGTTTGTCTAGCTTGGGATTTCTCCCAGTTATAGTTTAAAGGCACTGATGCACAGCAATGTTGTTGTTTTTCTGTGATTATGAATATTAATCTCAATAAAGCAGTGGTTATCAAAGTGTGAGGCATCAGGGGAGGAATGGGAAATGATAGTAAAAAATGAAAAAGAAACACGGTACCGTTTAAAAATGTCAGACCGTTTAGTAATGTATATATATATTTTAAATATTAATATTTTGATTCATCTAGGATCAGTTAAATTAATCAAAAGTGACAATAACACATTTATAATGTTACAAAAATGTATGTTTCAAATAAATGCTGGTCTTTTGAACTTTCTATTCATCCTGAAGAATCCTGGGGGGAAAAAGTATCACAGTTTCCACAAAAATATTAGGCTGTATAATGGTTTTCAACACTGAAAATACGAATAAGAAATGTTACTTGAGCTCCAAATCAGCCTATTATAATGATTTCTGAAGGATTATTTGACACCGAAGACTGAAGCAATGATGCTGAAAATTCACAATTTCACAACTTTTTTTTGTTAAGTATGATTTTGTGTGTTTTTGAGTCATGTACGAATTTTACGGTTCAAGTGAAACGGTGACCTTTTTTACATACATCCAATGATTTTCTGTAAAGCTGTTTTAAATAAAGTATTGTGAAAAGCATTATATACTGTAGTTAACAGTGCCATTTTCAAAATGACATTATTATTTTAGACCAAAACGGTCTAATGTTTTTTTTTATTTTTATTCTGCTGCCAATAGCAAAAAATGAAAATGAAAACTCATGCTAATATAACTATTGCTTTGACATGTTCCTGAACATGAATAGTAGTAAACAGTTTAACCTCTTTAGCTTTTGTTTATTATGTTCATCTTATTTTAGTACAAACTAATTTTTGGAGTCCGTACTGAGTAGATATCTGTCAGCTCTGAGAGGACTAGACACTAACCGTTGTATCTGTGATGTGGCTTTTAGCTATCCAGGTTAATGACTCGTGCTGCCGCTTGTTATATTGACCCTCTGCCCTCTTTTCACTTAATGGAAGTGAGAGGCCTCACTGTACATCTCTCTCTCTCTCTCTCTCTCTCTCTCTATATATATATATATATATATAATATATATATATATATATATATACAAATATCTGTCCATGTATCTACATATTTATCTGTCAGTCTCTATCGTTCGTTTTCCCGTTTCCTTCCTCCCCTCAACTGCGTCACCAATGAAAGGATACTGACCCAGTTTAGTTTAGCCGAGTGTTTTTTCGTCTGAAAGCACCCCCATTAAAGTGATTGATATGCATGGCAGGCGAAGGGGATGCTGGGAGATGGAGAATAGCCCTGAGGAATGAGCAATGTGGGGCGGAGAGAGTAGAGCCAGAGGCCAGTCACAGTCACACAGGAGCTGCACAACACGCTGCTGGCTGCCATCACCACTGACACCGGCTAAAGACAGCGTGCCAGGCAGACACACGCATGCAGAGAGAGAGAGAGAGAGATAGAGAGAGAGAGAGAGAGAGAGAGAGAGAAAGAGCAGCACTGCCCATCAGGCACAGTACTGCACAGGCAGGGGCATTGAGCTTTGGGTACAGGGAGGCAAGGTGGATGCAATGCCAGTTCTAAAAACTGCAGAGCTAAAAGGAATACTAAAATAAAAAGAGAAAAGTGGAGGACAGAACATTTTAAAGTCAGAAGTCATGTTTACTAATAAAGTATAATAATGGGAGACTAAAGTGTGTCTAGTGCTTTAGGTATGAGAAAAGCACTTTATAAATAAAAGGTATTATTTCGATGATATGAAGATATAAAGAGCTGTTGATCAAAAGTGACAGTAAATACATTTACTTTATGTTAATTAAAGAGTCCTGAAGTTTCCACAAAAACATTTAGCAGCACAACTGTATTGATGATAATAAGGAATGTTTCTTGAGCATCAAATCAACATATTAAAAAGATTATGGAAAGATCATGTGACACTGAAAATTCATCTTTGCCATCACAGGAATAAATTACATTATAAAAAATATTGAAATTGAAAAAAGGTTATTTAACTTGAATAATAATAATAATAATAATAATTATTATTATTATTATTATTTGTATTTTTACTCAAATAAATGCAGCCTTGGTGAGCATAAATAGTTGCCAAATTTGCCAAATTTAGTTAGAAAAGTTCACCAGCCCAGTTTTCTCGGCAACGCTGCAGTGAAACAAATGTAAACCGTTGTGCTGTTTTTATATACATTTTTTTCAGAATTCTTTGATGCACACAGATAAAAAGTGAAAAAAAAAAAAAATTGTAAAACGATATGTCTTTACTGTCACTTTCGGTCAATTTCATATATATATATATATATATAGAATATAAGAATTATTCATTTTATAATGGTTTTCTGTAGTGAAGTTTTCTAAAATGCATGTCATACATTTTATACACAAGTCACTGTTCTTAAAATATGCTGTGCCATTTCTGAATGTGTTGCTTCCTCAGAGAATAGAAGAGTGACAAGCAGAAATAAAATTATAATTGAATGCTCATGTCTGTCACCCAGACCTAAAGCTGTAGGTCAATGCTTCCTAATCGACATTTATCAATTTTTGTCCCTCATTATGACGTCAGTGCCTGGCTATTGGCTTTTGCAGGAGTGCCTGGTGACATTTGGAAGTGCAGAGTAAACGACACTATTAGCAGACAGTCTCCACCCATTAGCCTGGCTCTGCATGGGTCATCACATCTCCATCAGAGATTGTAATGTTCTCCAGTAGCTTAACACTGTAAAAAAATCCTTAAACCAGACACTGTTGCTGTGTTTCAAAATCTAGTGTGCTGTCTATCTAGGTGGCATTTTTAGGCCTTATAAATGCACTTTAAATGCAAAAAATGTTTCAAAATGTAGTTTTCAAAACTGTGATTGCTTCTAAGACACCTCTATTTTTCACACATATCTTCCACAAAGCCAGAATGCATTGCAGATACTTTGAGGGAAATGTTTTTTTATTCAGTTCTAAAAGGTGTTAATAGAAAATCTAGTTTAGGTATGTGCTTGTTTTGCTTTAGCGCATTGTCATTATAGCAACATGCTAACCACAAATTCTACTGTTAATCAAGTATCTTTTGCATTTCAAGTAAGGAGGGCTACTTGTGTGCAGTTTGAGTGACCATGCTGATGGAAAATATTTCAAATCAGTTATACTTGAGGTTCTCTTTTGGTTAAAAGGCAGGATTCTGATATAAAAACAGCTCACTTTTGGAACAGAGCTAATTTGTTTTCTTCTTTTTTTGAATCTGTAAACCTCAGATGGAAAAGTTCTGAATAGGGCCCTGTGAAGTACAACAGCTGCTCTGACAGATATCCAGCGGTCTGAACACATTCATCTTGTTTTGCTCTGAGCTCTCTGCCCTCCCAAGGCTGTGGTATCTTCTCAGTATTACAGATCAAGTCTGCTCTTGGGCTTTGTAGTTGAGAACTAGAGGAGAGTCAGACGTGATGGAAACTGCATTTCAATTATACTGTCTTAGGAACTTGTTAAAGGGATGTTTTGGCGTTTTGTTGAGAGACTGTTGTGTGAGTGACTTGTGAATCAGTGTTAGGGTCTCTGGAAGAGAGCAAAGATAGTCAGTGTGTGATGTTACATGTCTTTGTTAATTTTTTTTTTTTGTTTGTTTTGTTTTGTTTTGTTTTTTAACAAAGACAACTTTAATTCAGAAGAGAGTTTTGGCTGAACAAGGCCTTCCTTCAGTTTCCTGTGAACACTGAAATGATGTGTGAAAGTGAAGAATAGTATTGAATATAATTTTTGGGTAACACTTTAGTCTAGGGACCAATTATCACTATTAACTACTTGCTTATTAGCATGCCTATTATTATCATATTTGCTGTTTATTAGTACTTATAAAGCACATAATTTTGCATGACCATATTCTACATCCCTAATCCTACCCAATACCTAAATTTAACAACTGCCTTACTAACTATTAATAATCTGCAAATTAGGAGTTTATTGAGGCAAAGGTCATAGTTAATGGTTTGCTAATAGCGAGAATTGGACCTTAAAATAAAGTGTGACCAATTTTTGCAAGATGATGATGATGATGATGATGATGATGATGATGATGATAATAATAATAATAATAATAATAAAGTTAAAACTGTTGAAAGGCAGAACTGTATTGATGTTCCTCAAACATTAATAATAATAATAATAATAACATTTTATTAATAATAGCATAATTACATAATTAAAAATAACATTTAATACACATCATTGTTGTTGTTGTTGTTATTGTTTGTATAAAATGTCAGAAATAAACACAAATCAATAACAGCCCATTATTATTATTATTATTATTATTATTATTATTATTGTTGTTGTTGTTGGTGTTGTTGTTGTTGTTATTGTGTGTGTGTGTGTGTGTGTGTGTGCGAGTGAGCGCGTGCATGTGTGTGTGTAAACGGTCATTAATAAATATGTTTAAACATCCTCTAGCAATCCTGACACATCCAAACAAAATGAGTGGTATCAAGGTACTTTTTGGTTTTGCGATAGTTTAGTGGATATCGTATCGTGAAACAT